ATATACCAATGATACTTAAAGCTATTGCCCGAAATAACTTGGAATGAAGATAATATATACAAGCAACCTATATGCTGGTTGTTTCTGGCTTCACTTTGATAAGATACAGTAGTCTTACATATCCATGGGAGATAGGTTCTAAGACAATAGTGGATGCCAAAAACTACAGATAGTACCAAACCCTATCTGTACTCTGTTTTATTCCAATACATGTGTACCTATAACAAAGTTTAATTTATAAACTAGGTATAGTAAGATATTAACAACAATAGCCAAAAATAAAATAGTATAACCATGTAGAAACTCCATTTCTTTAATATGATCTTTTCTTCTTTCTTTCCTTTTGATTCAAGCTGGCCTCATCCAGCACCCTGACTCACCTGCCTCCTTCTCCCTAGCAGGACCACTCCCTTAATCATTAAGCCCTCCGGACAATGAGGTTCTGGTCAGCAACAAATAATCGTAGGAACAAAGTCTCCAGTCTGTTGACCCCAGAGACAGAGTTTGAGTCAAACTAGAGATAACATCTAGGCCTCAGTTGTGCTTCAGCCCCAGGCCCAGAAAATCTGTGAAACCAGAAGAAGCAATGCCATGGCTGGTATCAGGACCAGATGCACTGATTAACGACTCCCTACCCGAGTGCAGACCAATCAGTAGAGACCATGATCCTGACCGTGACCCCAACTCCCTTAGTCACCATGATTAATGATTTTCCCCTATGAAGCCCATCACATGGAAGCCATCTGGAGCCAGTTCTTTGAGGATTAGCTCACCTGCTATGGGCACAGGCCACTTTTCTCAACCAATAAATCCTTACTTTCTTTGCTGCAAACTCCTATTTGTGTCTTACTGGACTTTGATGTGCACAGGCAAATAGACCCTTTTAGTCCAGTAACAATTTTAACAATATACTGTAATAAAAATGATATGAATGTAGTCTCTCTCTCTCTCTCTCTCTCTTTCTCAAAATATCTTATTGTACAGTACTCACCCTTCTTGTCATGATGTGAAATGATAAAATGCCTACCTATGTGATGAGGTAAAGTGAGGTGAATGATGTAGGCATTGTGACTTAGCAGCTACTATTTACCTTCTAATAATATGTAATAAGCACTTTACGGCCTCTCTTTCACATATCCGTCACTACTCTTGAGCTTTGGGGTCATCATTAAATAAAATAATGGTTACTTGAACACAAGCACTACCACGACAGTCAATCTGATAACCAACATGGATACTAAATGACTGATGGACATCTGGATAAGCTGGACAAAAGGTAGTCACCTCCTGGGTAGGATGAAGCTGGACAGTGCAAGATTTCATCACACTTCTCAGAATGGTGCTATTTAAAAATTAAGAATTGTTTATTCCTGGAAATTTTCATTTAATATTTTCCACCATTGTTGACTCTGGGTAACCGAAACCAGAGAAAGTAAAACCACAGATAAGGGGGAGGATACAGTATTATGAGAAAGAGATGAGTTCAGAAAAGAATTGGCTAACTTCAGGAGTAAATAAAAGCAAATAAAATAGAACAACAAAAACCTATAAATAAGGTTCAAGAGGCTACTAATTCTCCTTTCTCAACTTGCAAAAGAAAAACTTGAGGATTCATTAGAATAATAAAGACCAGTTATTATTGAAAGCCAATTAAAGGTGTGGCTTTCAATCTTATTGTTAAAACCTCTGAATAGATTAAGATGAGAATAGCAAGAAACAACTAAAGGTTTAATGTTCATTTTTTTTCCCAATTGACAAAATGGTGGGGGCGGGGGGGGGGGCGCGGAAACCAATAACAAAAGCCTGGTAGTTTCCTAATTAACTCAAGATATAGACAGGAGCATTTTAGCAAAAGGAATTAGTATGTTTAAAAATAAACTGTGTTCTATTGGCACATAGAACTGAATGGAATCTAATATGATGCTTGCTATGTTTTTAGCAAAGTTATACTACCAAAGAAACCACATATCTGAACTGAACAAGTCAGAGACTGTTCAAAACTTTAAATTATCTTAGGTCTCTGACTTCTCAGTATCATGAAGCAGATTAATAAAATTGCTCAGTACTCCATAGCAGACAAATTTATCAGTATCTGTTCTGATTAGGTCAAAGAGTAATGGAAAAGGAAGAATTTTCTAGAGTGACAGATTCAAGAGCCATGGGACCAGTGGGCCAGGGAGCTCTCCTAGTGAGCAGAGTCAAGGTCTAATCAAGAAGCATTCTTCACTGTCAGGCTAGACCTAGCTGGATTTAAGATTTGCTGTGAATCTGTAGTCACTTTGTGTCTCTCACTCTTCCCTCTTTCTAGATGGGAATGCTTATTTTAGTTGTCATAACCTTCTTCCACCATTGAATAATGGGTGTGTGGGAGATAGGTAATTTGTCTACTACATTCATAGATCTTCAGACTAAAAGAAGGCATGTCATGTCCAGACTTGGTAAGGAAACTATGGAATATCACTCAGAGATTCTAGGCTTGGGGCTGGATGGAATTTTGGGTAAGAAGTAGCCAACTATTTGGGGACCAGAAAGGTAAATTATGGTGGTGATTAAGGCTGCTCACTGTGGCCAATAAAAACTGACTGAAAGTGAGATAAGTCACTTCCAGATGGCAGCTGTGAGAATGTGGGATTCCCCACATTCCCTTTTCCCTCCATCTGTCATTAAGAAAGTATATGAAGGAGTGGGAAGTGTAACTCCTTCATGTGCCAAGGAGAATAGGAACACTTGTGAGTAGCTCTAATGACCCCCAGAGACTGCCTTTTCTACTCTCAGCCTTCCTTCCCATAAGTGAAGGAGAAATAAAAAAGCAGACCCTTCCCACTCCTCATTTTGTTTATATTTTACTTTTTGCAGTATTTTTTATTTTTATTGATAAGGTATTACAAATGTGTCTTTATCCCCCCATTGTCTTCCTCATCCTCCCAGTCCTGCCCTCACCCTCACCCCTTATTGTCTGCGTCCATCGCTTATGCTTATATGCATGCATACAAGCCCTTTGGATGATCTCTCCCCCTCACTCCCTGTATTGTTGAAAATTTTACAGATTTCCCCTTCCCTCCTCCCCGCCCCCTTCCCCCATTAACTCCCGCCACCACTCAGGCCTTCACCACACTTATTGTCTGTATGTCCCACTCCCTATTTTAAATCTACTGGGAGAGAGGAAGAGTTAAAGTTTCAATCAGAATGGAGATTAGAATTTTAAAATCAACTCACTCAATAGTGACCCCAATTTTAATCTGTCCAAGATGTCACCCATGTTACAAGAAAGAGAAATTCATCTGAGTGTGGTTCTAGTCAGTGACTGGAGAGAACAGAATGGTTTCATATTCATTCCCCACTGAGTTCAGACTGTTCAAGAAACCAGTTACAGCTGTGACGCTGTTGGAGAACTGTTGTGCAAAGATAAATGTGGACTCTGAAAAAGATGAATGTGGGAAATACTAATGGATGAGACAGGACTGAGTTTAAAAGCATATAGAGAATGCTTTATATCTCCTAAGAAAGTGTAAAGCGATACTCAAAAAGTTTAGAAAAGGAAAAAAAATATGAGTACAGTCTTAAGAGTTTGCCAAGAGATGGATTTCTCTGTCATTACTAGGGAAATACCAAAAATAAAGTAGCACATAAATTGGTTTTTACAGTCCCTATCTCAGACCCTGAATTTCAAAACAGGAAAGCTCTTCCTAAATAAGAAGTGATGATGACCTAAATGCCAGGATCCTGGGATATGAAAACAGTCCTATGTCCCCACACCTACCCACATCACCCAAGACATTGGCTAATGTGTAGACGTAGACAGCGGGGAAGGCTGTATTCCCTTTGATGCAAGAAGTAAATTATCAATTACTGAGTTTACTTTTTCAAGAGTGGCATTCCTATCCATTAGTGCTCTAGTGACTGTAAATGAATGTCTCAACTAATCAAAACAGGCTCTTGGATGTGTAGGATCCCAGAACTGGAGCATGTCAGTTTTTTGGATAAACACCAGGAGGCTGGTTGAAAAGGTGTCTGCTAATATACAGACTACAACAATGGACTGATCAGAAGGCTTCTGGACAAGGCATCTTTAGACTTCAAACATGTGGATGATCTCTTTAAAACAAGTGAAGCAGGACAATTTTAGCAACTTGCTTTGCCATGAAATCAATCTGGTAATAGTCTGACATTCCTTTCATCTTCTTTCAGCTACTGATGTTAATAAAGTTAAGAGCAGAGGAAGACATGAGCCAGAGTGATGGCTCTTATCTGAGATTTTAGAAACAGGTGTCAGATAGATGATTTCAGGGGAATCAGCCTAGTCCCGTGGTTGGCAAACTGCGGTTCGTGAGCCACATGCGGCTCTTTGGCCCCTTGAGTGTGGCTCTTCCTAAGCCTTCGGAGTACCCTAATTAAGTTAGTAACAATGTACCCACCTATATAGTTTAAGTTTAAAAAATTTGGCTCTCAAAAGAAATTTCAATCGTTGTACTGTTGATATTTGGCTCTGTTGACTAATGAGTTTGCCGACCACTGGCCTAGTCCCTAACCAAGTAGAATAGACAACGCATTAATCAGCTGCTAGTCAGCTTTAAGGAATCTCAAGGTAAACACCTTTGCTGAGGTCCCTTCCAAAATACACTGGCAAGATAGGAGTGGTAGTACCTGCAAATGGACCGGCCCCTCCACCCACCTGCCATGTGACTGACTGGGCAACAAGCAAAGGTACAAGAATTTGCAGGGGGTCTGAGCCCACAGTGAGGCTGAAAGCAACACTGCACAACCACAACAGGAGGATTCAGAAGTTAAAGAAGTGCAACTGTCCGTCTTTTAGCTTCACTGCTTTCAACGAAGGTCCACATTTTGTGGCAGGCGGTTCTCAACAACGTGAAATGCAAGCATGAAAATTACATGGAAACAAAGGTACACCTGGTGGATCTTGAAAATCACAAACCAGTTTTAAGGGGAACGATTTCCCCGGTTTCTGTTCCACTTAGGAGAGAGGGAAAACCTGAAATTACCTCTGATGATGGACACACAGGTGCTAGGAATTGGCTGTGACTTGGCAGCACCGGCATCTCGTGGGCACAGGAAGGATCTGCAGTGCTCACAGCCTGGATCCTCCTCTCCTGGGGACCTAAGTAGGAATAGGAAGGGGATTAAAAGGTGATAGGCTTCCTTAACCAAATGGATGAAATTCTGAGACGGAGAAGAAGTGAATAATATGTTAGAGATTGGAAGATTGACCCAAACTTTTGTTCAAAATTAAATCTAAAGCCTTTATGACTTCCTGTAAGGCAACGCAAATTTTCATGTAGTTGCCTTGAGCAGTCAACCATGGGAAAGTGAAGAACTCAGAGGGTTCTTGCCCAAGTTTTCTGGCCAGTTAAGCCGTGGAACTTTTTCCAAGGCCTCTGGAAGAGTATAACCTCTTAGAAAAATAAAACTAAGGATACATTTCCAATCCAAAACATACGAAGCTTTATAGCTTATATTTGAGTAGCAAAAAATATTAACATGTAACTTTCTCCCAACTGAGTTTCAGGGAGAAAATTCAAATCTAAAGACATATATTGGAAAAATATGTCTCTAATCAAAGGCATCTTTCATCCAAATATATTTTTTGCAATATTTGGAACATGTGGATAAAAAAGACACAAAATATTTCCATAATTTTGCCATTAAAATATTTGGCCATTAATGACTAATTGGTATATGATTTCAACTAAAAGAGTCATTCTAATAGGTCAGATAGCATATGTACCTCTTGAAACAAACAATATTGGAGTTGCTCAAGGTTTGGTATAGCTGTTGTTGTTATAGCGAATCTCATAATTTTAATATCATCTATGTATTCTGATGACTCAAAATTTATATTTACATCCTAGAATCAATTCTAAGCTCCATGCATCCAACTGCCTACTTAATACCTCCACTTGATGCTCACCAGTCAACCTTAAAATACACTAGTCTCCTATTCCACTTATGTTCTTCACTTTAGTCAAGGCCATCCCCAGTTGCTGAAGCAGGAATTCTGAGAATCACTCTTGATAGTGCCTGATCATTCTTTTTTTTTTAAATATATTTTATTGATTGTTTACAGATAAGAAGGGAGAGGGATAGAGAGTTAGAAACATCATTCAGCTGCCTCCTGCACACCCCCATTGGGGATGTGCCAGCAACCAAGGTACATGCCCTTGACTAGAATTGAACCTGGGACCCTTCAGTCCACAGGCTGACGCTCTATCCACTGAGCCAAACCAGTTAGGGCTCATTCATTATTTTTAAAAATAACCATCCCAACTACTGTCAGTTCTACACACACAATAGGTGTCAAACTCATTCACTTTCACAAGTGCCACTGTCCACCCTAGTTCAAGCTTCCCTCTTCCCTCTTCTGGACCATGACAACACCCTCCTAATTTGTCTCTACTCTTCCTCTCCCACTGCTCTCTATACTCTTTCTCCACCATCCAGTATGTTCCTATCACATAAAGTCTGCTTTCAATTCCTCTGGGCTTTCAACCCTCTTTACTCTCTCCCTTTACTGTACACTTCTCACCTCTTTTCCTCTAACTCATACTATAAATTACAGAATCATTGAGTAAATGATTTCTGCATGGTGTTATCAAAGTGTTCAATAAACACTTATTGCATAAATGAGGTGATCCTCCTAGAGATTATACTAAAATAATGTTGCAAAGGAACTTAAAAGCCATCCACTCAAACCCCTTAATTTAATGACTAAGAAAAACAGCAGGTATCTGGTGCCTCACTCAAAGCCATCCAACTGGCCAAGTGGCAGAATGAAAACTTCTGATTCCTAGTCTTTGTGTCTCCTACAATCCTGCTTAAGTATAATAAGTTTAAAACATCAACCAACACTCATTCACTTTTCCCCATCCATTCACTGAGTGCCTATCATGCTGGCACTGGGGCAACAATAAAGAATAAGATAGACCCTGACCCCCATGGAACTTTTAGTTAAGTGAAAATTGGGTCCAGGAATGAAATATTGGGCACTCAACATAATTTATAAAATTCATTAATTCACTGATATTTCACAAGAATTTAAGAATAGTTTATTTCTTCAAAAGAAACAGTTTATTCAGGAAAAAAAGAAAACAGTTTCCTGAGTTTAGTAATATAATCCTACATGAAAGCAAAAGCATCTGAACATTAAAGAGCTCAAGACTAATAGCCAAGCTCATTTTTAATATCTTTATCTTACAAAATCAACAAAGCTTGTCAATGAAAAGAAAAAATATTGACCAATCACTTGAATGTTTTGTTAAATTCAGGTCTTTGGTATTACAGTAAAAACGATTTAATGTTCAAATATTATAATATTTATCTGCAGGTTTTTAATATTATTTAGGCATCTGATACTTTTTTAATGTGTGTGAGATCATTGTGTTCTCTGCTGGTCATCTGCTTGTTGTTCAACTATCAGGTTTCCAATGCAACTGCTCACAAAGCTCTTTGGGAGATATTTTTAAATTTCTTTTTGTTTATATGATATCTTACTTTATTACATTTGCCTTTTCTTAAAAGAAAGGTTGTTATATAGACTTTGCAACACAACTTTTTGCAAGAACATATTAATGAGAAAATCACTATCAGATTTTTTTAACTCTTAAAAGAGCAAATGTGATATATTCTGAAAAGTTCTACAATTTGTAATGACTTGATTTCATTGAAAAACAAAAAATGTGCAATAAATGAATTTAAACAGGAACAAAAAGTGTGATGTGATCAATGAAGAGATTATATATGTGTGTGTGTGTGTGTGTGTGTGTGTGTGTGTGTGTGTGTGTATACACTGTACACTAACTAATTGTACATCTGAAGACCTCCTATGAAGGGTTAGGAGGTCAACAAATACTAATAAAGTTAGATGTCTATGAAAGCACTTTCTTTGAACTGAATTCAAGGAGCTGAAGTGCATGATGCTGGAAATAGTTAACGTGATGGGTAGTGGGGGGTAGAGTAAGAACAGGAGGACTTCTCAACAGATAAAAAATTTTTAATGTTAAATAGAAGAATTAGCTTGTTTTCAAATAGAGAAGAAACATGGGCATATGAAGTTGGGTGAGGCTTAAAATACTCTATTTCATTTTCTCATCAGGCCCCAAATGGCCTACTTTAGCACATGCATTGCAGAATCCCCATGTGGGAGACTCATGTGAACTACTTATTCTACATTTTTGGTGATTTAATCCCTAAAAGTAGAAAGAAGCACCAAGATTCATGACCGTGCTGCTACTGGTGTCACAACATCAAAAGGAGCGAAGACGGGAATCCAGCTGCTAGAATTTGAGTGAGGAGAAGAAACCACGGCGGGCGGATTGTTTATGGAAGCACAGATGGCTGAAGGGAAAACAGCCGTCTCTGAGCCAGCTCGCCAGGAGAAACACTGGCAAGACACAGTTGCACTTTGTTAACATTTCCCTCCAATTTAAAAGGGTCCTAATTTTACTGCTGGACAATGATATTTGACACTTTTCATATATGACTTGTATACAGACTGTGGCTATAAAAGTTTGAACTGGAAAACATCTGGAGGGAGAAAAAAAGCCGTTCACCTAGCAGGAGGTCAGGGCACACAACAACCTTCTGGAGCCCTCAAAAGAATTACAGAAGCTTAGGAATGGCCAAACATGGAATGAGCCGCCAAGCATGACAAACACATAATTTAAAAAGCATGGTCAGATTCAGAGTTATAAAAAATAAAATCAAAGGAAAAGAATGCATTCGTAGACACTTTATGAACACTCTTTATCAAAAACAAGAGGAAACACTCACACTAAAGCTTGAATGAATATACAAAAACAAGTTGTTTAGGAACAGTTTGAACAAGTTTGCATAATTGTTTATAGAGAGTAAGACAATTAAATACGTCGTGTAGTTTTTATTATTTTATTTTTACTTTAACTTCTTATATTTTCCATTCAAAGAGAATAACGACTAAAAGAAAGGAATACATCATTAACCTCATTCTACTTTCTAACATAGGAAACATTTTCATATCACACAATGGCCTGATCAGGACATATCTACATAGATTGAAGAAGAAGAAGAAAAGGTAGAGATAATAATTCTTTAAGCATTTATTTCATTTTTATTTAAATTTATTTAATTTTTAATTTATATTTATTTAATTTTCTAGTTAGAGTGGTTCAAGAGTCCCGATCCTCGAGTGACAATGCACATTCCTACACACTCACACATCCCACACCCAAAGGAGGCCAGTTGAGCACCAGGCACCAGAGGGTCTGGTTTCTGAAAGTGATTGTTTTTCTCAACTTCAATGTAAACAAAGCAAGGAATGTGGGAAGATAGAAAAATGTAACTTCTCCCATCATGTCTACCCAGTTTTATATAAGGGAGGACTCAAACCAACTAGTGTTTAACTACGTTACCACTACGTTATTAAACCATGTTAATAAAACATATATTTGACAGCCTGGGAAAACCAGATATTTCAAAAATAGCTTCAGAACAAAGTAAAAAAAAATTGAACACATACTTCCATTCTGATTTTGAAGGATTATGCAAACGCCCACTCCTTAGACATTCTGTTATTGTACATACACCAACCTTGCATAGGAATGAGCATGTTTATTCTCAAGCTCTATTCATGTGATGCCAAATATCCAGGTAAATGCAGAAGAATTCATTTGGTTTTCCAGTCACTACCATCTGTCTTCAATCTTCCCCCTGCCAGATTCCTACCTTTCACAGCTTCATTGGATCTTCTGAATTCAACCAGAACCCTATAGGACAGTGATTGCCAATGTGTATTCTGGACTATCAGCATCAGCATCCCCTGACTAAAGTGTCTAGTAGACAATAGAACACCTTAGAAGCCTTCTGAGAATATCACCTTGACCGCCACCTGTGGTGTAACTGGGGAAAGGCTAGCATTGCAGACCCATCAGGAGGCTGTGGTAATTATCCAGGTGGGTGTGTGGGTCTCAATCAGGGCTAATGTAATTGGGATGGAAACTCAGAAAAATATTTAGGACTTTAAAAGGGCAGGACTTATGCTACACTGAGTCACATGGAGTAGAGTAGGGAGAGAGTGAGGCAGCTCTGTTTGTGACTAAAGGCAAGGACCTGGGAGACAGGGGTGTA